CCTAGGTGCGCCTCCCCCCTCTCCCCCTTCTGGCCGCACCAGATGCCATCTGGGGGTTGCCGCCACCCCTGGGGAGGGAACCCTAGAGGGGGCGCAGCCCTCTCCCCTCTTCCTATAAATAGTGGGGGTTTTGGGGCTGCCCAACACACGAGAACTTCTCCCTCTTGGCGCAGCCCTACCTCTCGTACTCCTCCTCTTCCGCGGTGCTGGGCGAAGCCCTGTTGGACTACCACGCTCCTCCATCACCACCACACCGTTGTGCTGCTGCTGGATGGAGTCTTCCTCAACCTCTCCCTCTCACCTTGCTGGATCAAGGCATGGGAGACGTCATCGGGCTGTACGTGTGTTGAACACGGAGGTGCCGTCCGTTCGGCACTAGGATCTACGGTGATTTGGATCACGACGAGTACGACTCCTTCAACCCCGTTCTCTTGAACGCTTCCGCTTAGCGATCTACAAGGGTATGTAGATGCACTCTCCTTTCCCTCGTTGCTGGTTTCTCCATAGATAGATCTTGGTGACACGTAGGAAAATTTTGAATTTCTGCTACGTTCCCCAACAGCCCTCCAGTACGGTTCCATGCCCTTTAGGGGTTTTTTGTTTTTTGGTTTTTAACCCAGGTGCTTCAGTATGGCGCACCCTTTTACTTCGGACTAGGGTTGTAGTCAAGGCCGGACTGTCCCAAAACCTAGCTTCGGTGTTCCTGGCACTCTCCACCGCACAGTATTTTTGTACGATGGTCGCTAGGTCGACGAAGCGTGTAACTTCGCGACAACTTATGGCGTTCATGATTCCCTTGTCCGTGCAATTGTTGCAGAAAATTGAAATCGCGCTTTCTTCGCAGCAGTCCTTTATCCTGTTCATAACCAGGAGGAATCTGGCCCAGTAATGATGTATTGTTTCATCGGGCTCTTGCCGTATTCGAGAGAGATCGCTTATGTTTGGGTGGGTGGGTGGAATCAAGTTCGGAACCCCGCCCGATCTAAGGCTCAACGGCCAAGAAGTTTCCGGATTTGGAAGCTTGACTTGTTGAATGCTTTCCAACAAATCTAGTCCGATGTCTGACTCTAAGTTCAGTATTTGATTGGCGTCCGTCCCTCCGCGGGAATCCGGCTTGGAGGGATCGGGAATCCGGACATAGTTAGTTTTCAACGTAGAAGAACGGTTGCCGCATTGTCCCTCTACCACGACAACATGGTGGGTAGCCTGAGGAGAGTTAATCTCTCTCAGATCGGTTTTAAGCCCAATCTGATCGTAGTCTATAGCGACTCCCAGGGCGGCGATGCGATCCAAGAGCTCGTTTACAGAGAAGAGCTCAATCAGATCTAACTGCTCGGCGAATTCCGAGCTGACGTGAAGATCGCTTTTGATGACATGAGAGGTCATCGTCGGAGCGGTGGCCGAACAGGCGGTCATAAGAAAACCACCTAGCCGGACAGTTTGGCCGGCGGCCAAAGCTCCCTTGACGACGGTGCCGTCTTTAAAGACGGGAAAATGCATCCTTCCTGATCGCGACGGCACAGAGGAACTCTCAATGAAAGCACCAATGTCGGTGTCAAAACCGGCGGATCTCGGGTAGGGGGTCCCGAACTGTGCGTCTAGGCGGATGGTAACAGGAGACGAGGGACACGATGTTTTTACCCAGGTTCGGGCCCTCTTGATGGAGGTAAAACCCTACGTCCTGCTTGATTAATATTGATGATGTGGGTTACAAGAGTAGATCTACCACGAGATCAAGGAGGCTAAACCCTAGAAGCTAGCCTATGGTATGATTGTTGTTCTTCCTATGGACTAGGGCCATTCGGTTTATATAGACACCGGAGAGGGCTAGGGTTACACAGAGTCGGTTACAAAGGTAGGAGATCTACATATCCGTATCGCCAAGCTTGCCTTCCACGCCAAGGAAAGTCCCATCCGGACACGAGACGAAGTCTTCAATCTTGTATCTTCATAGTCTTGGAGTCCGGCCGATGATGATAGTTCGGCTATCCGGACACCCCCTAGTCTGGGACTCCCTCACCATGCGTCAACAAAAATGTAATGTGGCATTCCTAAAAAAACACAAATTGCCACTCCAACCACTCCCCCGTCCATAAATGAAAAATAAAAAAACATGGGGGCATCAGACATGAAAGAATGTAGTCCCAAAACATTCAACAATAAAATGGCCCAACGTAGAAACGTGACAACATGGAATGCCTGTGCGACAATTCCCATGCAGCGTGAGTGGGTGCTAAAGAACATGGATCTTGGAGCTTATATCGGACGGTGTGGGGCTTAGATGAGAAGTAACTAATTATCATCTAAATAACAATTAGCAAAACCCGACTTATGATTTATATAAGTGGTTCCACAGAACATCATCTTTCAACTATATAAAAAACACAAGTATATATTTCTCGCTGTTTTTGCTAGGAGCCATACAAGTATATCAACAGAATTAAGAGAAGATATCCATCCATCGACAACATTGTGGAAACCCCAACCATTTGGCATACTCAGAAGAAGAAGATGAACCGCAAATTTTGTTATCATACACACATTACCATGTGGGTTGATGCTATGGGTTGAAAAACACAGTTCCATCACTTCCAATGGTATGAAATCAAAATCTAGATGAAACCTTGACTATTTGAAAGGTACTATCAGATGCTAGAGAGAACTAACGATAGTTTTGGATTGTAGGATAACCAGGATAGATTTGGATTGTATTATAACCCTTCCAAGTAGTATGTCTCTATTGTGTAAGGATACATATCTCGATTGTTTTAACATGAATATGTGGCAACGCACAAACATTTTGCTAGTAGAGACAAATATGTGGCATCTGCTGGCTTAACAGTCGTAAACCTATCTCATAAAATAAATCTTCATTTTTTGAGGGGTATAAAATAAATCTTTATTTCGCAGAAAAAAAACTTTAGAACAGCAGAAAATACAATAAAAAGTACATTGACGTATTTCAGCCCAAAAGCCCATCAGCGGCCCATTTGATATCACCCTATCAGTGGGCCAGGTTAAGCCCGGGCCATTTTCTCCTCCCCCTCCCCGATTTTCTCGGATCACAGAGACCACGCCGACGCGCGGCGCCGTGACCCGGCGTCCATGGCGGCTCGCCGGAGCAGCCTGCAGCAGAGGGATCCAGCGCGCTGCTCCGTCGATCTTGGCCACCCGTGCTTCTCTCATGGCGTTAGCGGCGGGAGGGAGGACGCCGGTGCCGCGGCGACTTGAGGATGGCGAACGGGGCGAGGCTGCGGCCACCGCGTCGTCTTCTTGAGGTGCGGCAACAGCTGGAGATGGTGGGGGCGCGGCGAGCGGCGACTCCACGCACGGTGACGGCCGCACGCGGCGGCCCGATGCGCTTGGTAAGCTCGTTCCCCATTCTTAGGGTTTCATGATTTGGGGATTTATGTTTCGGCATTGGGGAAATTTGGGGAATTTTGCTAGGGTTAGTGGAATTGAGAATTTTCCACCAGGGCTTGTCTTAGAATTTGTAATTTCCCCTTGTTCTCATTGCCTACAGAGCCCGATTAGCATCTGAAACACATTAAATGTGCTAATCTAGGGTTAACAGGACATTTTTTTTTCTGAGAGAGAAGTTAACATGAAATAATTAACAGTTAATTAGCAACAGTTAGAGCTAAACATGATTGTTAGGGTTAACCGTCAGGCAGTTGACACTTCATATTATGTGGCGATCATTCACACGAGGCAAATATGATTTGAATATATAATCATTAGACATGATAATTAGGTGCTAAGAGAACCACTTTAGATCTTCATGACCATCAAATGGTATAAGACCAAAACAATTTTCCCCTGACATAAGCTTTTTAACATGAGCAGGGTCTAATTAGGCTTGTAATTATAGGCTAGTAGCTTGGGTGCCAATGTAATTACACTTAACATAATTATGATCTAACCCACACAATTAGAACACCACAGTACTACATTAAATAGTGGGAGGAGGCGTTTTTTGTTCTCACCGGCTATACGGCGAGGTCTCGTGCCTGCTCAATGCATGCGTGGTGAAGGTTCGGTGTAGCCGCGGTGATATAAGAGCAGCAGCAGGGTCCAAGAGCCTCACTGGCATGACCCTCGCGGCAGCTGTGATGATGCACGAGCGCCACCAGCCTTGACCTCGTGCTGGCCAACAGGAGTAGACGTCTTGCTGATCCCCTTTAGTGCTCTACTGCTCTTTTAGGACCAGTGGTTCAGTATAGAGTGTTTAACCCATGTATGTATCTGTATTCCAAAGGGGCACGACCTCCCCCTTCTATTTGTGGCACCAAGGGTCCAGGGTCCCAAACCATCGTTGGTTATGGGTGCCCCCAATGGAAGCACAAACGTTAGAGGAGACTTTGTCCCATGTTTTTTCTCAGATTATTATATGGTTAGATCATTTCTGACAGTTGATTTACATGGACACACGTCATGTTAGTATTGAGCCCGCTTGGTGTTGATCAAGTCACTGATACACCAGAGCCCGCACGTGACTAGCTGAGAAGTCTTTCGTGCATGAAGCTGATGGATTTTGCTGATCGATTCTTCCCGAGTTAGTTATTTTGGTGGGAAGGACCTACAGAAGCTAGACATGCACAGAAACTGGCTAACAAACAGATTGATCGATTTTTGGTGCAGCTAGCAGAATTTGCTGCTTTTCTGTCTCTTTTTACTTTATTATCGGAGTATCAGTTACAAGGCTAGTGCTTACTGACTCGGCGGCCAACACATCTATACAGCAGCACCACTCAACAGGACACCAACTCGAATAGTAATCTGGACGAAATGCCAAAATAAAACTGCTAATTTAATACTACTCGATCAGACACTTGGACGGCAGAATCTACTTATGCAAAGTGACCTGCGCTTTATTTCTAACACATCATAGAGATCTTGTTTTGGATCCAAGAATAAGCTCTGTGTACTAAATCAAACATCAAAATCTTTTTTTTTTGGTTGGTAGTATGCATACTGCTGCATCATGCCACTTAGCTTCATCAAGCAACCGAAAGAAGCATCTGCACAACATTTTCCATGGTGGGCCTTTTTCTACCATCTTCTTCCACGCATGAAACAGCCAGCTTGACCATCATTCTTGCTTGCAAGTTATCGAACTGGCTGTTCAACCTCAAGTCAATGAAGTCAGCCACCCATAACTGTTGGCTGCCCTCCAGCTCCAGCATCAGATTTTCTGTAAGCATCCTAACAACCCTTCCAAGGACTGTCTCCACTTCCTCGTCGGCATTTGATGCCCAGTCCGAAACACGAGCCCCCTTGAGTAGTTCTAGGAGAACCACTCCGAAGCTGTAGACATCTACCTTTGCTGTTATTGGATGGCCAGAAACCCACTCAGGAGCTATGTAACCTCTAGTTCCACGGACCCTCGATACATTTTTATTGGATCCACCTCTGTTCACAAGTTTTGCAAGGCCAAAGTCGGTGATCTTTGGCTCCAAGTTTTCATCCAACAGTATATTCTCAGGCTTCAGGTCACAATGGATAACCCATTCCAAGCACTCATGATGAAGATAGGCCAATCCTTTTGCCACCCCTAGGGCAACCTTAAATCTTTGGTTCCATTCGAGTAAGATCTGTGGGGCCTTGCTACTAAACAGGGTTTTATCCAACGAAGCATTCTCAACGTACTCTAAGACCAATATCCTGTGTGGACCATCAGAACAGAACCCCCAAACCCTCACCAGATTCATATGGTAAATCTTTCCAATCACACTCAGTTCATGCTGGAATTCTTCTTCGCCTTGGTTTATGTCTGCCAACCTTTTCACCGCTACTACCCTCTTGTCTTTCAAGACCCCCTTGTATACAATACCAGATGCCCCGCATCCAATCTGGTCCTTGAACTTTCGAGTTGCCCTCTGCAACTCCTTGTAAGTGTATCTGCGGAAATGGTTAGTTATCATTTCATAGCCAACCTCAGCTGGCCATACTCCTGTTAACTGCTTGCCCTCCTTTCTCAGCACAAACCAGCATCCGAATGCTACTAATATTACCTCTACACAAAATATCGCTGACAAGAATACATACAAGTACAAGTACTGTGGGTGTGATCCACTCTGACTGCTCTTAGGTTGATCCAGAAAATCTGTAGTGAAAATTTTGTTCTTTGCACTACAGTTAGGAGCATATCTATGACCAAAAGGTTGTGAGTGAGGAATTGAGGACTCTGAGACCTGTAATGTCTTGGGAAGCTTGAGATAGATAGAACGACCCAAACCCGGGCTGGTTACACCACCAACAAGGGATGACTTTGGATAGCAACTTCCACTTCCCTGCCAGTATGAGAAACCTTTGCAATTGCAGTTGTTCAAGCATATCTTCCTGCATGTATGGAATGAAACTGATGTACTGCTACTTTGATCATTACCTCGGAAGTCGGTGTTGTGTAGCTTCACAAACATCTCCTGCCCATCACAACTGAGATTGAATTTTGGCCTGCAACCTTTGCTCCGGTCCCTTTGGTCAATGATCTCATGTCCAGGGGCACATGCACAAGCTGGCCTAGGTGTATACACACATATTCCATTCATACCACAGAGACCACGTACAGAGCAGGTCCGAGGATATGCCATCCATGTGACCGATCATCTTCCATCTGACTTATTTAGACTGTATAATCTAAGGTTGCCATCATAATTCAATGTTAGCCTCCTCATAACCTTGAGACCCCAGTCAGTCGCCTTAAAAGTTAAATTGTCACTTCCAAGGAAATAACCTGAGCTATCTAGGACCCCAATTGTGGTGGTATTAAATGAGCTTCTTTGCTTTTCCCAGATATTCTTATTAGGATCTGGCCAATAGATAAAAGAGATATCCGTCTGATCATAAAACAGTGTGAGTAAATGTTGATCATCAAAATGGAAGCTGTAGCGCCCAGGAACAAGTAACCTATTAGCAGATACCAACTTTGTAGCAGAAGTAATGTTCTGATTTGGCAGCAATGTATCACTAGGAGAATCAAAACTTTGCCGCAAAATGATATCACCTTGGCCCTTCATGATGAGGTTCCCGGTGTCCAACAACTGGACTTGTTCGGCTTTTGATGAAGAACTGACATTGGTTTCCCACACGGCCTGGCCATTGTAATCTTTTACAACCATTCTGCCATCCGCATATAGCATGACTTGGGATCCCCAGGAGTACACGGGGTGGAGATGATTTGCACTCCAGACGACAGTCTTTTCATGAGCTGTGTTGGAGAACCAAATAGAGAAAACGAAGGCATTCCCAGAAATGTTGTTGAAGCCGCAGGTGAAAGTACCATCTGGTGAATGGAGCACGTCAGAGCTATCCTCTACGGAGAGAGAGGAGCCTGGCGAGAGGAATTCACGAGCCGAGATCCGCAAAAACAGATGAATCAGATTTAGAAGAAGCAGAGAGGTGGAGTGTATTTCCATATTTGTTGAGGCACTCTAGTTGATCTTTGGAATGTACACAAATGGAAACTACTCAGCTACTGTATATAGGAACCAACTAGAGGAAGCAATATGCTTCTATAATTCAATACGACACTGATAGGTGCTTGTCCTTTTGTTGAGGGCGATAATTTGCTCTTGTTTGTCAACCAGTCAATCAATGGTCAGCTGTAATTTCTTTGTTTCTTGAATATGCGCGTTGTAGAATTATCTTTTATTTCAGCTGGCTGAAGTATACTCCTGAAATAAGGCTCCAGGCTCCCAAGCCATCATTCAATTTGGGCCACTCATTGCCTAATCTGACCATCCATTACATAGTAGATAAGTCAAAAAACATACCCCTACTTGTTTCAAACTTCCAATTGTGTGGTGACAACGATTTGGCTACTCCCTCAGTTCACTATTATAAGATAAGATGTTCTACTCCATCCGATCCATATTAATTGTCGTTGATTTTGTACAACTTTGTGCTAAATCAGCGACAATTAATATGGAACTGAGTAAAAAAAAAGATTTGGATGTATATAAGATGCATTTTAGTGTGTTGGTTCACTCATTTCATTCTGTATATAGTCCATATTGAAATATTCAAAACATCTCATATGTGTGAACGGAGGGAGTATTTCCTATAAAGGTTGCTGGCCAGGTCCACATTTTTTCATGTCACCTTCTCTCAATCGCTTCTTGTCCTTCTCTCGAATGACAACTTGTTCTGTGCAGTCAACAATTCAACTGTATACTCCTGCAATGAAGCTATGGGGGTATGATTCGAGCCACTCGTGCTTCAACCAATCATCCATCATACAGCTGGCAAGTGAAATAAGTCTTTATTATTTCAGCAGTTGCTTGCTATCAGAAAGAAACCGCAAACTTGGCAACATATGGACTTCAGCAGACAGAGAAGTCTTCATTTTTTCAAAAGAAACCGACATAACAGTAATGGAAATTCAAACGTTGAACATTGACGCCTGGAAAATAACAGTTGGTTCATGCATTGCAGCACATGATTCACAGTCAACATTTTTTGTCAAGTTGACAATGTCAGGAATAATTCAACATATTAACATTTTTTGAATACATGGTCAACATTTATTTCTATACAAATTTTACAGTTTTTCAAATCCTTGATTAACATTTTAACAAGAGCAAGTTCAACATTTTTTCAATAAATGGTCAATATATTTTCTGTTCACATTTAACATTTTCTTAAATACTTGATTAAAATTTCAAAAACTAGATTAACATATTTATAATATATTGCCAAGATTTTTTATACACATTTAACATTTTTTTCAAATGTGATGTTAATATTTTTCAAATCTAATTTTAATTTTTTTTTAAATACATGGTCAACAAGTTTTCCATTCATGGTCAACAAAATGATATTTTTCCAATGCTTGTTAACAATTTTTGAAATACAAATTTAAAATTTTCTGAATACATGGTCAACATTTTTCTATACACATTTAACATTTTTCAAATGCTTAATCAATGTTGTTAAATACTTGTTTAACATTTTTTTCAATTGCTTGGATTAACTTCTTTTAAATACTTGGTCAACTTTTTTCACACTCACTATATATTTTTTGTATACTTGAGAAACATTTTCTCTATGTACGTCTAATAGTTTTCAAATGCTTAGTTAGCACTTTTTTGAAATATTTTATTTAATGTGTTTTTTTAATATATTTGTTTAGAATAGTTGGAAGTATAAATGAAACTACAAAATGAAGGAGAAAACAAAACTAATGTGAAAAGAAAAACAACAAAAGAACGAAGCAGTGGCCTCCTGTGCACTGGGCTGGCCCATACGCTCGCGCGACAGGAGGCCAGTGAGTCGGAATGTTGCCTCGCTAGAAGCAAGGTATAGCTGCGCTGCGCTAGAAGCGATCACCGCAGGTTTCAAACTCGGGATCTCTGGTGTAGAGAGCAGTGCAACGACCACCACGACAACGAAGCACTAGTGGCTATGAACATCAATCCTTTGCTTTATTCCTGCAGATTTTGAGAGCCCCTGATTTTGGGAAGTTTCCCAAACCAGTTATTTCACTCGTTCGCTGATTATGGGTGTTTTTTATTCTTTTTTTCTTGTTCCTTTTTCATTTTATTTTCATTTTTCTTTTTTCTCTTAAATGCTTGAACTTTTTTCAAATTTGATGAAATGTTTTTAATTCAGTGAACTTTTTATCAAAAATGATGAACTTTTTTAAAATCAGTGAACTATTTTCAAAATTGATGAACTCTTATTTGAAATCGATGAACTTTTTTCAACATCGACAAACTCTTTTTTTTAAATTGACTAACTCTTTTTTAAAATTGATGAACTTTTTTCAAAATCAACATTTTTTTTCATTTTTGATGAACTTTTCTCCAAAATCGATGAATTTGTTTTCATATTTGATGATTTTTTCAAAATCAATGGTTTTTTTAAATTCGTGAACTTTTTTATGTTTCTGGACTTTCTTTCCAAAAGTCATTTAAAAAATGAATTCAAGATTTTCTTTGATTTTTTTGTCAAAAAGTTGACCGGTCAACTGGCTGGCTATTGATCGGTCAACCGTGATCGGAGGGAGCAAAGGAGGCGATCGAGCGGGGCAAAGGAGGCGATCCTTGGCCGGCCCAGTTCACATGCCCGTGGGCGCCTGAACTGCCAATAGGCACTAAAGGCGCCCGTTAGGGTGAGCAACTAGTTAACGAGCGCTCCTTCGTGAACCTCGCAACGATCAGCGTCACTTGGCTCGCTCTTAGGCATTCGTCACGTGTCGCGCTCTGGACGCTCCCTTCAGATTTTGTTTTTATTTTTATTTTTCCGCACGCGTTTTCGGCTTTTTAAATGTTCCTTTTTTGGGTTTTTTTCGACGTTTTGGTTTCCCCTGGTCTTTCTTAGCTTTTCGTTAAAAAAGATTTTTGAAAAAAAATCTGCACGAAAAAAATGTGTTTTCTGTTTTTTTTCCCGAGAGTCACGGTTTTTGCTTTCGCGAGAGGCACGGTTGTGTTTTCGCGAGTCACGGTTGTGTTTTCGCGAGAGTCATGAGCGTGCCTCTCGGAAAGGGAAAAACAAAACGCGTTTTCTGTTTTTTTTTCTTTCGCCAGAGTCACGGTTTTGCTTCCGCGAGAGGCGCGGTTGTGCTTTTGCGAGAGTCACGGCCGTGCCTCTCGGAAAGGGAAAAACGAAACGCATTTTCTGTTTTTTTTCTTTCACGAGAGTAGCGGTTTTGCTTCCGCGAGAGGTACGGTTGTGCTTTCGTGAGAGTCACAGCCATGCCTCTCGGAAAGGAAAAAAATACGCTTTTTTTTATTTCGCGAGAGTCATGGTTTTGTTTTCGCGAGTGGCACGGTTGTGCTTTCGCGAGAGTCACGACCGTGCCTCTCGGAAACGAAAAAAATGTGTTTATTGTTTATTTCCTTCCACGAGAGGCACGATTGTGATTTCGCGAGAGGCACGGGTGTGCCTCTTTCAGGAAGGGAAAAAAACCATGCTCCCGGTTCAGTTTTTTTGTTTGGTTTTTTGTCCGGTTTTTTTGTGAAAAAATAAGTTCGTCAAAACCTATCAACATGGGACCTAGTTTTGAAGATCTCGACGCGAGGAATATAACGGTGAAAACGGTTCGAGATTTGGACGCACGGTTTGGGAGATAAAACGTTTTGAATAAATGGATCTATGAAAAAAGGGAAAACTCTCAGGTTGCGACAAGTGACACGCTGCATGTGCGTCACTTGTCGCACCTGAGAAAGTGGAGTGTTCTTTAAAACGAATACTCCTTAATTAGTGATTTCGCTCGTTAGGAGCTCCCGAAGAGAGCGACAGTGGGTTGGCCCTGCACGATGGAGGCCGCAGGCCTTAGATTTTCAGTTTTTTTTGTTTTTATGCGTTGTTGGTTTTCGGTATTTTGCTTTCTTTTTTTACGTTGCTTTACACTTATAGATATTCTAAATATATATTACAAATAACACTATACACAAAATGTTGAAAAATTGTAATCATGCATTTGAAAATATTAAATGTCTAATAGAAGAAAGTATACAAAAAGTGTACAATGTGTATGGAAAAAAGTAGGCATAAAAATACAAGGATTCAAAAATGTTAAACATGTAATAGAAAAATGTTAAACGTGTATATATGAGTACGCAAATTAACAATGTTTATTAAAAAAGAT